ATTGCAGGTAACAACTTTACTCTCCCTCTACACATCCTCCTTCCTATTTTATGTTGAAAATCGCCCTAAAATTGCAGTTTCGCATTTAAGTTTATCGTACTAGATTTGGATCATATTGCGATATTTATGCTTTCCCTTAGAAATAAGTTTTTTTTAGCATAAGTTTTTTTTAGCAAATATTTAATATTTTATGAGGATAATATGCGAGGAATAAAAGATTCTTGAAAAAAACAAGTAAAGACACTGTAGTGAGGCACGGTCCACCATTAGATACTCTACACCACCCTAAAGACATCCATATACCGATTGTTTATAATAGGACATTATGTCAAAAATGGTTGAAACGGTTACGCGACCCAAAGCATCACCGTAGTGTTCGTCATTCTCATCAGAAACACGTCAATGTACCGAATTTCATCAAAATACCTCAAAAATTACGACTTGCAGGCTGAGCATAAGAAAAGAAGGCTCAGGTCAATAAAAGGTGTATCTGTCTCAAGTGCTTCTCCATCCGCACAAAGTTAATATTGCCTTGCACCTTAAATGAAGTAACTAGGGTATAAAAATGAAAAGGAACTTTGAGGATCTCTGGTTCGTAGCAGATGATGTAGTGTAGGGCATTTGTTGACCGACTTTGAAAAACCATAATGTTGATAAAGTGTTTAGATTAGATTGACCTTTTGAAACTACAAAATTACAAAAAATTATTGAAAGGCATTTTTAAAAAGGTGAAGGCGAAATTTTTTACAAAAACTTGCTCACAAGCCATATGAAATTATGCCCTGGATTTCGTGTCTTAAAAAGAAGACAATGTTGCTATGTAATTATAAATAAAAAACTTAATGAAAATGTATTTTGTTTCCCAAATCCGTATTAAAAAATTACCCTCGTTTGTTTTATTATATTCAGTAAATGCAAAAAACAAAAGACTCATAATAAGGGTATATAGGATAAATACAAATATAATATTCCAGGAAAGCAGTCAAACAGGACTAATTTTTTATTTAGGAACTTGTACGACTTCCAAGTTAATCTCACTAAAGTTACCGAAACTATCATATGTTCATTTATGACATAAATGCTGCTAATACAGTTAAACTTAATGTCAAGCTTAAAAAAAAAAAAAAAAGAAAACAAAAAGAAAACGGAACACTAGATTACCACCAGCGAAGGTAATGTTTGAAAAAACCTCTTCTTCTCCATTTCACTTCCTTTACCTATTTGCCGTTCTTTACGAACCGCAGTGAAATGCACATTGAAAGGGCAAAGATGTGCCGCAATTCTTGATAAGCAGAAGATTCAGAGTACCCTGCCTGGTTGTTCATTGAAGATAAAGTAATGAAAAAACAAAATCCGATAACACATGTCCTATAAAGTGCGGCCAACATACACCAAGTAACGATACGAAAGATATGCAGATCAGTGTCCATTGTAATGCATTTATGACTCGATCAAGATGAAAATAACTTCGACTTACTTACTAAGCTTTTTTATACGTCTCAAGGAAGGATGAATTTGTCAAAATGTTGAAGCTGCAGCCTTCCCATAAAGTATATGCACTCTTGCTCAACGCGAAATTATAAAGCGATTTAAACGTATCCGTCTGTCTATCTGTCTGTCTGTCTATGAGGCGTCTACGGTCAACATTCCCTTTGTCGCAAAAATTAAGCTGTGACGCTCAACTTCTGGCACTTCTGGCAAATAGATTGGTATTAAAAACGGGACAATTTGGTTGGAGCGCCCGCTCATAAGTAAACAGAACGCAACTTTCTTTTTCTTAAACAAACAGTTGTGGATTTCTTGCTCATTACTCGTTTTTGCTATTACTGAAAATGTTCTATATTTACTTTATGGAGGACCCTACTACTTATATACAAAAACATGTAAGAATATTGCAGTCGGACAATGCCGACCATTAAATATCCTGCACAACATTGTCTAATACAATTCTTATATTTGTATAAAACTACTATTATGGGTTCACTTTCATCATAACATATTAAAACCTAGACTTTTCTGCTCTACAAAGGATCTCGATTCTCGAGAAAATCCCTATTAGGGTAGGATCCAAAAAAAAAAAGCCGAGATGGTCCAAATTTGGTACAGTTAATTTTTTTATGTTAAATTACTTTTTGTCGCGTGAATTTCAACTTCACAATAGGGCGTTATTTAGGGAGTGTTGGAAAAAGTGGACCGATTCAAACCAAAGTTTGACATTTTTTAATTTTTTTTCGCGTTACTCGTAAGGTAAAGTAAGGTATCTAAATTAATGTGTTAATTCTAAAATAAATATGGCAAAGCCCACAAGATGGGGGATTCATTTTTTCTTAGAAGTATAATCAATGGGGTATCAAATAAAAGGACCTGGAGAGTAGTATGCGACAAGCCAAGTGCACTAACTCTAAATTAGATATCGCGGTCGTCACGACGTCGTAAACTAACTTTTCTTTAACAGTCCACTCGCTATCAAATGACAGGATATAGAGAGAAGATAAATTTTTACTTGGATGCCAAGCAATAATTATTAAAGTGAATGAGGAAATCGATCCAATTATCTCTCTATCGGCCTGTTTTTTAAAATCCCATTCAAAAAGATAACTGAGTTTAAAAAAAAAAATATTTTTAGAGACCACCTTGGTATAAACCGTTGATACCAAATGTGGGCGTGGGAAATTACTTGAACGAAATATTTTAACTTTCACCTATTAAAGGAACCTGCGAAATATTTACAAAAAGACTTTAATGGATACCTGCTGCGGATTGTAAACCAAAATGTTGTATTAACCGCATACGTGTTTCGTCTTTCACTCTCAAGGTATGTAATAGCAGTCTAGATAAATGTTGTATATATATGCAGTATTACATCAAAAATTTTTTGCGGTACGTGCTCTCCCGCGTATGTTTAAAATCAAACGCCACTCCCTCTCTTCGGTTCTCCGATGAAAAGACAAGCTTAAAAGCCAAGCAAGATTATGTATATAAAAACGACTATTCTGTATTCACCGTTCCTCATCTTAGTTGAATATACGACCAATCCACACCTATAAGCGCATATACACATGTACGTCTATGTATTTTTATGTTTCTGTGTCATATCTCTGCTTACTATGAAATATGCAACTTAATCATGAAAATTTGTCAATATTGGAACATTCAAGCCAAGCTAAACGCAAATTCTCTCGCCAGCTTAAGAACAGTGCTACACTTCACTTCTGTCCTCTATTTCTACAAATGAAATTTTTTACTCAAATTTCAGCCAAAAAATTGTATTTAATAATTACATATATATCTGTAGGATATAATTAGAAGAAGATAAAACATAACTAGAATATATTGCGAACATGCACACACACACACATCCCGTTAAGGTATACGCAATATTATAACATTGAAATTCATTTAATTTTAATGAATATTAAAAGAAATAAAAAAAATCAAACACAAGCGCAAATGCTACAAAGTATATATAAAACAAAGCAGTCGAGCAAGGCCGGCCGTTAGATAACCTATGTTCACTAAGCAATCCTAGGGATTTAATAAAATGATAAAAGAAAATAAAACATTAATAAAATTGTCTTTTAAAAAAATTTTCGAAAGAGAGATGTCTAACATTTGAAGGGGCGTAGTTCAAGGGTTTCATCACCTGTGTCATTATAAACCGGCAATCAAACCGAATCGCCATGTAAAAGCTTACTCCTTACGAAAACCCCTTGATGAAAATGGATCTGAAAAATAGACCAGGGACCATATTGGTCCAAACTTATTGCAGTAAATTTTAAATGTAAAATTTACTAAAAATTACACCTTCTTCTAATTCCCTTGCAAAGATTTATTTTTACAAAAACAATTCAATGAAAAAAATGGTTCTTTTTCGATCCTAAATTTTCTGCGTAAAGAAAGGTATTAGTGTTCTAAGATAATGCCACTAAAAACAGTCCCGATCAATTCGCTTTCAATACTAGAATAAATTCGTATCACTGTACAATATTGCACAAAAAACTGAGACTTGAAAGATGAATACAAACATATATGACAAACAGGTTTAACTCGACCCCGAAAATGATTATGACTTAATTGATAAAACAAGAAAATGGTGCAACGATTTAGAATAAAGTTAAGGAACAGTTAAGCTTAGCAATTAAGAAGATCGGGGAGAGACTATAGATGAGAGAAGTTCAATAATTGTTCAAGCAAGGTGGCTTACATTAGACGGACAGACATGTTTAACTTAACAACACAACGATCCAGTTTGGGCCTTTAGGAGTATTACATGCTTCCGCGTGTGCACAATGCGCACTTATCACAAATAGCGTGTGATGGTATTAGGAAACAATTTAACTCAATTCAACGTTTAAAAAATCATATTTTTTTAAACGCAATTAAATTGATCAGAGAAACTCTCTCTATAGATGAGATAAGTTCAATAATTGTTCAAGTGGTTTATATCTATCCATCTGTATTGCCACTTGAATAGATCTTTGCTCTACGAAACAAGAAAAGCGCAATACAATTGCCGAACCCTTACAAACTTTTAGTATATTTAAGCTTAGTTTTGGCTTTAGTCGATTTGAAAAATTACCGGCAATTAGCATTTTATCTCGTGTTACTGGTAAACAGACTTAATTAAGTTTACTAGAGATTGATTGATGCATTCTTCTTTAAACAATTAATTGTGTATGGCGAATATATATACGTGCAATGATGTATGCATCCGTCCATCCGCCCTTATCGAATGTCTTCGTCAAAATTTTATCATTATGAATGTGTATTTGTCATAATAATATATTTGTCATTTTATCAAGTCGACCTAATTTCATATTTCACGTGCTCCATATTTGACGAGTATACAACAACTATATCGCTAAACAGGTCGACACAGCTAACTGGTTAATTATAAATGATAATCTGTCTGGCTGCTAATATTCACAACACATATCGATTTCGATCTGCATAAGCGAACGAATGTTTGAAAACGTTTATGTCATTTTCTCGTAACTTACCTTCGGTAAATCCCTTATGTGATTTGAATCTAGAAATAATTCTTCCAATGTGCGTGTGTAACGTAAAATTTCTTCAGGAACACTGGGTAACGAGCAATGACGTTTATCGACGAACTCAACTTGGCGATTACAGCCCTTAAATATTGGAATGCACTTGAACATGATGGGAATTTATTGGCTGGCTGGATGGCTGACTGGCTGGCTGGCTGGCTGGCTGTCTTTTTTTAAAGCCAAATTAAAAAATGAATAAAGCCAGTAGATATAGCACACACTCACAATATATAAAAAAGCACATAAATATTTATCGTTGTTATTATACAATGACAACAACAGCAACAAAACTAATCCATTCGCATTAAAGCATTTGCGTTTAGCTCGCGCGATAATCTTAATGTATTCTATTAAATGATCCAGTAGTTCCAGTGGTTTAGGCTTGACTGTTTTAAAATTAAAAATTTTGTTATGGTGATGTGTGTATACTGAGGAAAAATTTTTTTTTTCTCTATTTATTTATTAACAATTTTTTATTTATTTATTTATTTATTAAAAGTACACACTCTAGCCAAGAACAGTTTTATTAAAAAAAACCGCAACACGCTTTGAAAAAAAAAAAGAAAAAAAAAAATGAATCAGCATAACGAAAATAGATCGAGAATAAAACCGGTTTCATTTCATTTAAGAACATAAAAAAAAAGTAAAATGTGTATATATTATGAGACCTTTCGTATTGAAGCACACCTTTCGAATTGTTATCATTAGTTTCAATAAGAATACATTTCTTTTTTTCTTATTTTTTTTTTCTTTTTTGGTTTTAATTTATTTGTACATTTTTATTTATTTACTTATTGTGTATTCCTAAAATTCTATAATTCAAGCACACTCTTGTGGAAAACATTTGTTGCGTGTGTTTACAATATTTTCTCTTTTTGGCCCTTGAAAGTCATTGCTCTCTTTCTCTTTCTCTCACCTCTAATTGGCAAAAACAAAACTAACATGCCGCGCATATATATATATATATATATATATACCGTCACTACCTACTTACATGCCTACCTATTAGTTACAGTGAATAAATATTGAAAATGAAATAAACAAAACATTACACAATGAGAGCGCAAGAATAAAGAAGAAAGGAGAGGGAAAGAGAGAAATAAGAATTGTACACAATTCTGGCTAAACTTCTAAATTGGAATGGAACGACTACCACAAAGTGAACTCAACAATAAACTATAAGATAAAATGTAGAGAAAATGTATAAAATTACAATGGAATTTAAATACAACACACACACACACACGACAGAACACAAACAAAAACTATCGCATGACGTCTCATCACAATCGTCGTCCCCATCTTCCTCTCTCCTGATCCATCTATTCGTATATAAACTATTTGTGATATGCGCAGGTAAAAGGTAGCTTTAACTTCTATTTTTGAGACAAGGTGTACAAGTGAAATAAGAAACTATTACTGTGCAAAAGTAAACCTTCTCAGTTTGCGGCTAACAAAAAGAAAATGTTTAACAATTTAGCCTTGGATACAAGCCAAATATTGAAAAAACGTCAATTTTCTTTTTAAGCCCTTTAAACAATCTTAACAAAATTGACACACCCGAAATTCCTGCAATTAAATTTTTTCTTTTTTAATAAACGCATTTATTTCCCTATTTAAATATTATGTACATATATTTTGCAAATTTATCCTCACTTAAAAAAAAAACGGTACGCTAATTACCCGAAAAAAAAACATTAACGTTTCAAGAACGTAAAGCGAAAACAATTCCCACACTTTTCTCACTAGAAGCAAAATTAATACCGCTTATATTTCTTTTACTACTACTAACTTATAGGGACTGTGTGGTCGTTCGCCAACATTATATATACGTATACATGCATGTATATATATGCATATATATATTTGTTTGCATGTATTGTGCCATCGACAAACAACCGTTCATGAACAATTTTGCACTTGACCAGTTTTTCCCTCCTTTCCAAACGAAATTCTTATGTGTTTGCTTCTCTTTTTGCCACTTTTCATTATATTAACATTTTTATTATTCATTTCGTTTTTATGCTATTTTTCGCACTTTAAAATTTTAACATTTATATTCGCTTATATGTGTTGGAATTTATTTCTTATTTCCTTTTTTTTTTGCACAAAGCTTCTGAATTTTCTCCTGTTTTTTATTTTGAAAATTTTACCCGTTTGTTTTTATTTTTGCGAAACGTACGCGATTATATATCCCAATTAACTATTTAGCGGTAATTGATTTGTTGTGTGTCACTTTTAAAATGGAACAAAAAAGTATTTACAATAAAATAAATTAAACTGCGTCTATCCGTCAACAAACTTTTAAAAAATATTGTTGCATTTTCGCTCTCGTATTAAATGTGAATGAGCACACGACCATACTTTTCAAATCAAATTTGCACACATTTGCTGCTGGCTATGTACAGCAAAGTAAATTTTACTCTCAGAAATAGAGTTTTATTATTCTCAGCACTTCTTTGGGCCTCCATAAGAAGTGTACAGCAAAGTAAATTTTATTCTCAGAAGTAGAATTTTATTATTCTCAGCATTTTTTTGTATAAACGACTGAACCGACGTATTTCATTTTCAAATGTGTCTTTTTTTCCATTTTTCTCAGAAGCTACCAAATTTGGGCTCGCTCATTTAATTACTCTCAGAAGCTAGTATGCTTTTATTCCCTCTTTTTTGTTCTTTACTCAAAACTTGGCATCATTTTTGCAATGATTGTGGCATTGTTTTTGTAAAATTTTGTTTACTCTGAGAGGAAACATCTTTCATGCAAATCGTTAACATTGTTGCCATACTGCAGAGATATATATCCCCGTATTCTGAGTATTTTATTTTAAATTTACAGTAAATTTGAACTAGAAAACTTAAAAACCAATTGCAATAAAAACGTATTCAACTTAGCTAAGAAAAAATTAAATGATTCAATAACTTTTTTAAGGTTCAAATAAAGACCTTCGTCTTTACATTGAACGTTTTTTTACTTATCGGACATATCGGATCTTCCGTGCTTCGTGTTAAATTGCAGAAGAAAAGAGGAAGAAATTTTAAAAACATCCCTTGAATCTATATTTCGCAAAATGTTTAGCATTTGCCGATTATTCGTTTTTGTATTGTTCGGAATTCGACCTTAGTTAATTTAGGAATGTCACGTTCATCTGCTGCGAATTTGCGAAAATTTTCCGTAATAAAAACAAGTAAGAAAACTTTAGCTGAGCACTGCCCACCATTAAATAAACTACATCACCCTCCGTTTATTCATATGACGCATTTTGAAAATCAAGTCGAAAAAGTGGTGCGATCCGAACCACACATACAAATTTAATATATTTCCTTGTACACCAAGTAGGGTATAAGAATCGAATAAGGATATCTTCATAATCTTTTTCTTACTTATTAATACTTTCTTTTTAATAATCTTTATTTCTTGAAAGTCAATCTTGTGTGGCAATCAAAACTAGAAGGCAATTATTACAAAAACAATCGTTACTCGTTTGTAATTGACGAATAAAACCTTACGACCGGTTAACGGTTATTGAAACCTAAACATCTTTGTTTTGTAAACTTCAATGAATTTTATAAAGTAAAATTCACTAGGTGTATATAACTGTGTTCTCTGGCAAATGTTGTTTGCATCGCAAAGTCACAACCGTTTGATATAAAAAGTACAGCTTGCAACCAAAAAAGTATAGCTTGCAACTACAAAAGTATAGCTTGCAACCAAAAACATATAGCTTACGACAAAAATAAAAAATGTTTAATGATAGAAAGAAACACACAGTAGAGATAGACAAGGAAAGTGAACGGGAGAGAATTAAAAATTCTAAACAAAACATACAAACGAAACTTTACTTCTTTCAAAAGTATTTGAAAAAACTGGTAACTCTGCAGAATCTAAAAGTAAATTAGCTTGTTTCAGGGGTTCCGTAGTGGCAACGTTTGATACAATTATTTCGATAGGTGACTAGGTGTAGGCGTTAGTTCGTGTATGTATTTCTAGTGAAATATTTTTTGCGAAATTATACATACTATTCAAAAATTTTCATTAGTTGCAACTACATAAGTTTTGTATTAAATAAATTCACTATAAAATAATTTGATTCTCAAAGGAGCAAGCTGAGTTGGGTTGACGCGTCTGAGTGAATCATTGTCGTTGTTGTAATTCACAGCACAACAACAAATTAGCACTTTGCTAAATAGAAAGATAAAACAGGAAGTAAATTGCGGTTGAAAGCGTTAGTTAATTACAGCATTACAAAGAAGGTGAAAAATGGCGACGGTGGATGTAACGCGATCGGAGCTTCAAGAGCTGCAGTTGAAAGGGGCTCAAGTGGCCGATGAGTCTCTAGAAAGTACCAGAAGGATGGTAAATTATATGGAGGAGAGCAAGGAGGCTGGTATACGTACATTAGTGGCTTTAGATGATCAAGGTAAGATTGTGAATTGGAAAAATGGTTACGAATACTTCACTACGTTGAAACATGCCAGTAACTAATGCAAAAAATTCTTAAATTTATTAATTTAAGAAAAAACTGTTAAATTAAGCAAATCATTAACTTAACTATGTATGGATTTCGTCTATAGAATTGTTCAAATTTTTACTTTTATTGTGAAATATCGTACTGTAGGTGAGCAATTGGAGCGCATTGAGGAGGGTATGGACCGAATTAACGCTGATATGCGTGAGGCTGAGAAAAATCTAAGTGGAATGGAGAAATGTTGCGGCCTTTGTGCGATGCCTTGGAAAAAAGTAAGCATTAAGGATGACGGTGGTAATGCTTGGAAGGCTAATGATGATGGCAAAATAGTTAACCATCAACCGCAGCGAATAATTGATGAACGTGAAAGAGGAGGCATAGGAGCTCCGCCACAAACTGGCTACGTTGCTCGTATTACTAATGACGCCCGCGAAGATGAGATGGACGAAAATTTAGGTCAAGTGAATTCGATGTTAGGTAATTTACGGAACATGGCTTTGGATATGGGTTCAGAACTGGAGAATCAGAACAAACAAATCGATCGTATTAACGCCAAAGGTGATGCAAACAATGTGCGAATGGATGGCGTTAACAAACGCGCCAACAACTTGCTCAAAAGTTAAAGAGGATTTCTTCGATGGTTTCCTATATTCGAACTCAATCAGAAGGTTTGTGATTTTATCAATTTGCCGCAATACATATACATTTTTTATGCCGCATTATGTCAAACTATTAAGCTATTTTAATACCTAGTTTTATTTTTATCTAATTGACTTTTCTTGCTTGAAACAATGCTTAGGGAAATATATATAAATACGACTTAATATTAGTGCCATAAAACTATCTATTTATACGTGTACATATAAACAAATTTCATATAAAGAATTTTTGTCTTCGGACGATACAATGTCGTTAAGCTCATAATATAGTGTGTATAAAGCAAACGGGGTAAGACAAGTAGAAAATGAGAAAGGCTTTGATTAGATACTATCATCAATATGTTTGTAAAACTGTCATTATGTTTCTGTGAATTACGATATTTATGGACTTTTTTCTTTTGTTCTACAGCAAAAAATAGATTCGATTATAACCAATATAAAAAGCACACAACAGCAAAAAAGACATTATAACGAGGCACAAAAAGTATATAATGAACAACAACTACAACAACAAGAAGAACATCAACAAAAATAACAATCGCAACAATAATAATTGCCACAAAACAAAGTAACTAAGGCACATCGTTAAACTCACTCTATATTCTTATTTTAGAAATACACAGGTTGTCCTTTTTACACAACCCACCATCTTTATATACGTATATATATATACATTGGTATGTATTAACCATCATTTAAACTTTTATAATCACCATTAGCAAAAAAAGTATTTAGAAACTATACTAATACGGAATTAAAACCAATATTAAAAACTAACTAAAAGAAGAAAAGACTAACCACCACTTTATATAAAAAAAAAAGTAAAAACTTTTTGACGGGATATATTTTTTTATATGGAATCTGTTTTTTCTACGTATGTAATTGTCCAATTTACACTTGTTTGCCCTTCAGTTTTCCTTAACCGGAAGATTTGATTAATTTTACTGTTAGAAAAGAGAAGAAGGATCTATAAAATTATTCAATAAAAAGAGAAAAATCTACTAAACTCCATTTGTTCAAAAATATGATTTATATCCATAAAAGAACTAAGACGATGCGAAGGATATTTTGAAGAAGTACCGAATCAACACCGAAAAAGCAAACAAGCTTTATTCCTTCAAAGCTGTATTGGGTCGAAGAGGACCAATGCAGTCTGGATACCTGTTGCTATGTAAAAATGTTAAAAATTGAAAGCACAATTTGAAGTTAAATTCGTCGGAATTGGAATTTTTTATGAAAGGAAGAAAATTCGAAATGTAAATCATATTTTCGGACAAAAGAAATATCTTTGCAAATTAATTATAATAATAATAACACTTATCTACCTATATACGTATACATATAAACCACAGTATCATTGTGACTTATGTAATATTGCATTTGTATCTTGTGTACTATTTATTATATTATATTCTCTACAAACATAAAGAAAGAAATTCGTGCTATACACTCTACATATAAATAAATGTATATGCACAATATAAAATCGGAACCAATATTTTATTAGGATAATAATGATTCCTTAACGTTCAAATTATTAACGAAAGAAAAGTAAAACGCATAAATACTTTAAATAAATATACAAAAATTACAATTAATGGCAAACAATAATACCTAGTAATATATGCTCTATTAAACAAAAAAACAAAAAAGTCATAAGAAAATACTTGTTTGTAACGATTATCTCTATACGTATTGTTATTTATTTGAAATACTCTGTTGATATATTCTTAAGTTCTCATATGTATTCTTTACAATAACGTACGACGACTTTTAAGTGATCTTTTAGACAATTTTTCTAATTTTTTTAATTTGCTAAAGTAATTTTAACGGAGGATTATGAAAATACGAGCGTTCACGATTAAATAAATTATGAATAAGAGAGACGAGAATTTGAAAAATTATTAAAATAGTATAAATATGAATAATGTTTAGTAAAAGGCATGTATACTCCCAAGCCATTCTTACATAACGTTTTGAACGACAATAAAAAGAATTCTAAAGTAGAAATTGAAAATTTCGAAAAGTAATTCATCAGAAAATTCATTTTTTTCATTTTCATTTATATTAACGAAACGCTTAACAACCAACCATAGTTCAGTTCAGATATTAAGATACATGTTATGAGTTAGAAAAATTGGAAGGCACTTATGGCAGGAAATCATAATGGCAAAACGTAGACCGAATAACTTTTGGAAAATTTAGCACTGTTTACTTTCTTTTTTTTTTTACTCCTTTGACGAGAGCACCGGAAACGGATATCTTTTTTTTTAATCGATTGATGCCCTATAACATTGCCTATAGTTTCAAATAAATCTTCAGCTGCCACATTAACCCATCAGGGAGCTGCATATAATCGTAATCTAAAATGGTACTGCAATGCCCTTCATTATTATTCGCATCAAAATTTACCAATGATTTCGAATCTCAGTATTCGCACCACTATACACAATGTTCAAGATCAAGTGACCACTGCACTATAGGAATTGAAATCTATTATGTTAAACCTTCGGTCAACATATGAGCATACATATGTGGCATGCTGTGCCATAAATACACAGTAAACATTGCATAAGCTGAACAGTTAATTTTCCAAGGGAAGATATATTAGGCACCCTTAGCAAGTAGACTTGTGAATTCAGCAAAAACATTATAACAGAAATGAAGTTTTTAAGGTTTCAGACCAAAAGAGATAACTTATAAAGAGGGTTAAGAGATTTTTGGAAAAAATTGGAGCACTTCTCATATAAAGCGTTATTTTGAAAAGTCATTATTGAAATAAATGTGGGGTGGGATAAGGTATTTATTGGTATAGTGTTTTTACTTGTTTTATTGTACATTAAAAGAGCTAACTAACGACTGATATATACACATGCATGCTCCCTTATTAGTGCACATATCCAACATTGTTGTGAACATAATCATATTTTTAGGGTCAATTAGTTCTTAGATTCTAGACCATTTTTCAAAAAAAAGATGCTACAAATTGCAGAGAAGAGACCGATAGGAAACAGGAAAATGTCGCGAGATAAACCCCAGGTAATTTTACATTTTTAACAAGAGAAAGGACCTGCAAGACCTTAAAAGTCGATAGACTGCTATCGTCCAATAAGGAGGAAGATTTTCTAGAATTTGCAAGAATCGGTGTAAATGTGTGCTTGAAAATTGCTTGAAAATATGGAAAATTTTGGATCATAATTCTCGTTGGATGAACCGCCGCAGAATTTTATGGGAACTAACCATAGATTGTCATCGTCTAACGAGAAGGAGAACTACACCACAGAATTTGTATGGCCCGGGGATTGGATGTCGCCTGAATATGAAATCGAAGAGACAAGTCCGCGGAAGGCTGTGTTAGAAATGCTGAAAATTCGAAGAGCGACATTAAATGAAGAAAAAGCGCTACTAGACAAGATGGAAATTAATACAATATTGGAACTGCAAAAAGTATTCGAAAAGGTTAAAGGGTGAAAATAAGGAGCTGTGTAAAGAAAATATTTCTACAATACAAAAAAATTAACATTATGCTTACCTTCTCTATATTAAGGAGTAAAGCGCGAAATGAATGCATGCACTTTTGATCCGAGGATTTCATCTCAACGAAACTGTATCAATAAATAATTGAAAATATTTCAATACATTGATTGATTGAGGGCAAACACATAAATTGCTTAGTTAAGACTGACTTTGTGAAAAATTAAAAAAAAAAAGGAATAAAGTAAAAACCATATAGAATGGGACAACATAGATGTAAAGTGCTGCTGCTCACTCCACAGCGCAAGTTGACGTACTTCACGGACAATAATATGCTGAGTTTTTCAAACCCGTCTATGGCGCTTATCTGTGCCTCATGACTTCGTAATGTTCCTAAAAGGAACTGAGGAAATGTTCCTTTTTTTCGATGGATAATGATAATGTTTAACAAACAGCGAAAGTTTGCTCAAAAAGAAGTGCTTGCTCTTCCACTTAATTTTTTTTTTATAATAAAGAGATATTATCAGTGGCTAGCTAAGGACATAAAAGTCTAAAATTATGTGATTTCTACTAACAATTGGTTTATTTTTCACATTTGATGTAATAAATTTTAAGTTCGTTTGGGACAAAGAAGAAAGAAGCACGCTTTAAGAAAGAACTCTGGTAATCATCATTACGTCAAGCGAGTTATTCTCGCTTATTCGTTAATATTTTTATTTTAATTTCGAATTGAAATTTCTTAAATAATGAAATTAAGTTGAGAATCGTAAGCGTTGCCTCAATTTCTAAAAATTTATTTCATAGTTAAAAGACCGATAAGAATACTTAAGTTACTGCGGTAAGGATTTGATGATGAAATTTCAAATAATATTTTACATAATAATTATTTTAAAAGAAAGATACATGGCCTGTCGACCATCTCTAAATTAATAAACTATGGATATTGTATTACTTCAGTCGCTATTTATTAGTCATATTTTATTTCCGTCATTTCATAATGTATGTTAAAGTATATAAAAGTATATTAATGTTATGTGATGTTATTGTGATTTTCTGCACCATTGTTTATATTCTATTAGACATAAATTTGTTGGAGTAATATTTGTGGTTTATTTGCGTCAATAAATATTTAATCTGACTCATAATAAAGAAAACATATTAAAGCGCAAAAAAAAAAAAAAGTGAATTTTTATTTTCGCCGTTTTATTAATTGGTGCTTCCATGTATTCTGATCATTTTTTCGGTTGAAAAAAGCATTTATTTGGAAAAATGGGTGCAATTTATATTAATCAAAACATTTTTCATCACTTTCTACAACATTTTACCGTATTTCTGGCAACATGGCGATACCATGTAGATGGAACGGTACTGATTTGGCAGCCATTCTATCGTCGACCTATTTTCGCATTTCTTCAACATTTCCGGCCAAACAATATCTGAGTACGCTGGGTGCCGCAGAACTTCCCATTCGACCTGCAACAATGTGTCCTTGACAACTCTTGCAACGAAAGGCCGAGCATAGGTCAGGCAAGAGAATGACTTAGTGTTGATTAACCGTTGTTGATGCTCTTTTTTTGCAAAAATTCATTGTTAGACATTTGCAGTAACAGTGTAGTCCAGTTTGGGCAGCTCGTAATACGCTACACTTTCCCGATCCCACCGTATGCATAGCGAAACCTATTACCATGAATATTCTGCTTCGGTGTCAATGCGGATGGCTCGCCTGGATGACTATTTACACTTGGGATTGTCGTAAGAGACCCGCCAAAAGCAGTACGCCATTAAAAACTCTTATTTTAACCGTTATATACATAGACACATCACCATTTTCACCAAATGTCGCTGATAAACACAAATGCGGTCATTTAATAATAGGAAAATTCCTAAGAATGTCAGTAATTTTGTCTTTGAACATTTCAGCAAAGCATAGAGAAGTTTGAAAGGTTGAAAACTGAACCAAAGCAGTGATCGCTTTTTTCTTGGTTCTTGATACCGAGTAAACTCGGTCGTAATTTGAATACAATAGTAGTAAGCAAGAAAAATGCGTAGTTTGTCGACAGTCGTAAACTCTCTACTCGCTACAGCTTGTCCAAAATAAAAAATTATCCAATTTACTCGGCATCGGAAACGCAAAACCGACATCAGTCTACTTGCAATTTGTAATCCGCTTGAGCGGATGCGGCTTAAGAATTACTGCGAGAATTACAAAGTACTGCACTGGTTATGCTGGAAATTGTTTCCAGACTGGCTGACTTTATTTAAGAAAATTACTACTAAAAGTAGAAAATTTTGAAAAACCACCAATTCAATGCAATAAGGAATTTTGTGCCAATTTTGGTAAAATAATTTAGTCGGCTTGAAAGCCAAGCTTGGCAATTGGTTAAAAGCAATTTTTAGTGGCAATATAAGCAATAAATGTATCGTTACTATCAGTGGAACTGGGGCTGGTTAACTCAATGCTGCGCATCATCTGAGTCGTTAAATATATAATGGAACCACGTTTTATCACAAGTTGGGAATGTCCTGGTGAACTAAGTAATCGCTTGCCTTTAAGTACCAGTAAAATACCAGATGACTGCGGCAGCTTTAAAGTATACGGATCATTATCGTTGATTTGTATATGCACAACAGCGAAATCCTTTACGGGTGGTGCAAAAAGTTGAGCATTCGCATCCAAACGTTTGGGTTTAAAAATTTTATATTCTCCCAATTGCCCAGCATAGTTCAACGACTCTAGCAAACGTTCAACGTCTTTATATTTGGGCGTAAGGCCAGCTCGTATAACGTTATCTGAACAAGCCATACATTCCACGCAATCACCGTTAAGATAGGCATGAATTTCATTTGGTCCCAGGTACAACGACTCACCCGGTTTTAAGTATATTACATTTAGAAAGAATAAAGATAGAACACCAACATCGTTAGGAAAATCTTGATTAATTGTTGTAAAAAGTTCATCTAGTCGATATGTGGCAAGGACTATAAGAAGTGAGAAGAAAAACCATAAACAAACATTACGCCAAGCGTAAGTAATTTCCGTATTTTAACCTGGCATATATTTGGTGGTAATACATTTTATCAGCTCAGCTACGTCATCTTCATCGGCGGTCATTAAAGTTGCATAGATTGGTTGTACGGCACCAGGTGTTTTCGTATTTAAGCACTCGATCGATTTGTCGCCCCCTAAAAATCTTTTCAGTGGCGGAAGGATTTTACAAAATTCATATATTTCACAATTTGGACGGAAACCGCAAAGCGCTGTGAAAGGTGTTAAGGCAATGACCAATTCAGGCTTATGATTGGCATCGTACAAAGCAGGACAATTTTTATGCAATTGCTCGGCTTCTTTCTGCAAGTGAGAGAATTTCTTATTCTTATTTATCATTCTTGCAGTGTATTATTCCTTTCCTACTTTATTTGGATGCACTTGTATGCTTAATGATTTGCGTATACTCAAAACTTTAAAGAGATAAGTTAACTTATCCTTCAAAACTTTATCTAATTGTTGACCCGTTGATTTTACAATCGAAGGCCCGCAAGGATGATCACCCATCCATAGCTCCGCATAGGGTTTATTTTCATCAATTTCATAAGCGGGATTGTTCGCTACAATTAGTTGAGCTACTTCAGAATCTTTTCCCAATTTGCCCCAATCGTAATTTTGAATATAAGCGATCAATTCCATAGCGTCTGAAGAGTGAAAAATTATTTAATTTTTGCCTTTTATTCCATATAAGTAAATTCTGTTCTGTATTTGTTAGAATAGCCGGTTTTTGCAAATTTGTGGAGTCAATACTTTGCTCATAGCAGGTTAAGGCGTTATAGCTTGAGGCTCAAAAAAGTCCAAAGCAGTTTGAATGTTTTGAAATTAATAGCTTTGCTGGAATTTTGATTTTTTTCTTTTTTTTGTTAATTTTGCTGCGAGTTTTGTTTTGTTGGCAAAATGTTGAAGACTTTTCTCTTATCTCTTTTATGAATTAATTATTCACCAAATAATAGCCATTGATGCCATCAGAAACAATTTCGTGTAATAGTTTTGAATAATTCCAGTATGGCATCGTCAGTTAATAGCTATATAAAGGTAAAATTCAATAAAAGTCTTCTTTGGACCACGCCCATGTAAGGTATAATGAGAAGAAATTATTGCAGAAATAAGATCAAGCTTTTCTATTCTGAAAATTCTGTTTCTGTATTCTTCTGTTGCAAAATTTATACGAAACACAACAATGAAGACGGAAGACTTTTCTGTTGTCCGTCTTGGATGCCTTAGTTATTTCTATAAAGTATATTAAAAGAAAGCTTTTCAGAATCATTTTATCAACGGGTTTAAAAGGCCCTGGTATAAATTTAAAACACATAAAAAAGTAACGTCCCTGTGATAGAATGTCTATCACAGTTGCAATAATTTATTGCTGTAGTAACATACAACTGCCGAAAGTTGGCAATCCTACATTTAGTTTTGTTTTCAACTTTCGTGTGCCGTTTCAGTTCAAAATTAACTTTAACGAAAGAATACTGCGTCACCATAGAAAAAATTTCATGTTATGTATGTATTCTTGTAAATATGCATTGAATCGTTGCTACTTGTTTCAAGGTAAAAAGATGCAAGTACTACAAGTAAAGCATTAGTCCGTTATTATTGCTTTGCTTACTTGAAAGTAATCAATTTTTTTTATTACAGACTTCTTCGGCAATTTTAGCCAAATTTCGCTGCTTTTAAGGGAAATGAATAAGATCAGCTTACTGGCCAGCTTGTTTTGCAACTATCCAAAACTATTAGATGGCATACTCAAACCTCAAGTTAACGGGAATGCAACGTATGCGACTTGGCTTGAATGTGTTTCTCATACCTAGCTCACAACTACAGCTTTACTGGGTTTAATAAACCTCCTATGCTTCAATTGTAAATAAAACATGATCGCCTTGATAAAAATGGGACCATAAAATGAATTTATAGGTTAAGGCGGCAGTGGGTTTTTAAAAGCTGGAAATAGTCGAAATAGAAAGTGAGTTCGTACTTTATCTTCTACTTAGAGTTCCTTCGGAAGAAGCAATACGTTTTGGTGGAATGCGTCCAGTGAGCTACACGATTCAAGAAAGAAATAAGGTATTAGCAGAGAACGCTGCGAAAATGTCGTTAAGTGTCCTCTTTATGGATTTACTAACTTCGCCATGTATACACGAATTTTATGTCGTCGCAAAAGTTTTTTTTTTGTTAAAGAATTTATTTTTAATGTGAAATTATAAGCTATGCCAAAATTAGTTCAGATTCTCTCTATATTTAAATGTCATTTATTTCAAGGTAGAACTCTTATCGTGCAATGTTATCATAATTTATTTATATAAAAAAAAAAAAAATTCATTCTCTTCTTTATGAGTATATTTCTCGAGCTGCTATTACCTTAAAAAATTATAATTAAAAAGTTAAAAGAATTTGTACTTCTTATCTCAAACGCGCTATGAAAAAAATGAGAAAATTTCATTTTTATATTATGAGTAAGAATACAACAGCATTCTCTATATCTAAGTTATAAAATAATAAAAATTCAAATTGATTTGAAATTTTTCATTTTATATGAGACATAAGCGCGTCTAATTTTCAATTATTTATGTTTGACTAATAAACACAAAAATTGCTTGTGTTCGCTAAAAAAAGTCGAATTTGAACTTTTCTTATCAGTTGCCATTTATATCTCTCAAGCATAGAGCATTTGCTGTTTGGAAAGTGAAGAAGTATTTTATAAGTACAGGCTTGCGGGTTCTAATTTTACACCGTATGACTTAGTTTTTCTACTACACGGTATACATTGCCATGAGTTATATTATTTTGTGAAACGATTCCGATACAACGTGAATAAAACTTTGTTACAATAGAATACATATTACTTCGATTTACATTATATCGAAGTTCAAATTGTCTTATTTTTTTTACACATCTTAGTGTACAACAATAAATAAAAAGTTTCGTTACGATGCAGTACGAATTAACCGTGTTAAATAAAATATGCCTATATATTTTTTAACTTGTAATTAAATTGCTGGAACTGAACGTATACTGGGATATGTAATCTTGGAATAAGTATTCAATACCATATAAAGTATAATCTCTGTACAAATCGGATTGACAAGACGTTTTGAATTATTCATCTGTAATGCGCTCTCACGGGTAGTTCAGATGAACCCGAAGAATTCATAATTCTTGCTACGAATAATCTCAAAATTTTCGATTTTATCCTATTTTCAAAAAAAAAAAGAATATTCTCTTTCCATATATATTCACAGAAATGGTTTGGTAATATATAATCTTTTTTATATAAATGTATCAAAAATATAAATTCATCTCCCCTTCAAAGCTATCGAAGATATTCCTCTGAAATTTCGACTAAACGCTAGTTACAAAAGTTGTTTCGATGGAAAATTTTTCAGGTTCAAGATACTCATGAATGTTTTGAATACTTTTTTTTTCACTTTCATTTCCGTAAACTAAACGTCTTCTTTAAATGTCAATTTTTGCGATATTTCACTTCACATACAAAAAAAAAAATGTACGCCAAACCTCGCCATCAGAAAGCTGGTTGTAAACAAAACTAAGATTTTGGAAAATTGTGGTTAGCATCATTCCCTTACAGACGTTTAAGGAGTGATGACTTGCCTCATGCCTATGCAGTAATAGATGCCACCTTGCAAGTCCAAATTAATCACATCCTACACAAAGTGCGTCAACTTTTACAACCGAAGCTTGAGATATTCTCAAATCTACACACCTTTCCCTCAAAGCCAAACTTAAAACGATTATCACCATAGGTACTTTGTTAGTCATAATAGCTATCCGTAACTCTTTAAATTTTAACTGCAATACCACTGTCATGTGGGGAGACAAAAAAATTAAAATTTTTAGGATACAAAGTCATATTAATCTCTTAAGAAATGAGGGAGCAAACCTAGCAGTCAAAAACGCAGCATCCGTACCATTAATTTTGTAAGACGCCATGGGAAAGTTTGACCTTTGAAAGTATATTAGGAAAAATATTGGAGAGAAAACTGACGAAAAAATCGACTGTACCATCTACACTACTCGCATGTTAATCCTAACCTCCTTCCACGTTTATGTCCTATGGAAGTCGGGAAAATCAAGATCAAAACATTTCCAAGCCTCCGGCTTGAGCACACCATTTTAATACGTCAATCGATCCTCAAGAAATTTAGTCCCACCGATCTACGAGTATGAACCAAATGTTACGGTCAAACATATAATTTTTGACCTAAGGACGTCTTAATATCAATAAAATATTTGACTGGATTAAAGCTGCTAAACTAACAAAAAGAAGAAGAACAATAATAATAATACTTTTTGTTAGTTTAGTTTGTTTGTCCTTGCGACCACTGTACGCACTCTGTAATAAATGTTTATAATAACATGTATACATGAAACCTTTGATATTATTTAGTTTTGTTTTGCAACAAATTTCTTCTGAGGGTTGCTGTTATCAACATCAATCATAGTCTCTTCAACAAAAAAAAAAAAAAAAAAAAATTGAAATTATTTCTATCAGTGTATATATATTATAACAGAAGAACGAAATACCGCCATTGAGTAAGGGGTTGAAATAGTTTATTTACAACATTAATACAATCAGTTGCAATCATTGAGCCTCGCAGTGAAAACGTTCTAACGGTGCTAGCTTGCTATACGATAAAATAAATCGAGTGAAAAAAAATTTACGACTACCGTTATCAAAATTAGTGCAAAATAGTGCAAGCAAAACAAACAAAAAAAAACCACTTGTTTCTTAACCCTTTAAATAGATAAAGTAAATATATATAAAAACTATAAATAATTAAAAAAAAAACAAAAACAAAACATTGAAAAAGTAAATAAATAACATGTGAGTAAATATGTAATATTTTTATTATACAAATATTTAAAGATAAGTTAGACAGAACTATCTATATGTACCTATATATGTATATATATATATACATATATATATATTATTTATAAATATATGGTTAAAACGATTAGAGTAGTAGAAAAAAAACGAAGAGTTTACGATCACATATATTGAACAATGTTCTTAAAGCTCTAATTAGGATATTGATAAGTACAGTATAGGGAGAGAGAGAGAGAGACATATAGGCAGCTAAACAAGGCTCTTTTATTCACAAAACTCTTATCCTGTTGTCAGTGAAAAAATCGAATTTAAAACTAAATTAGAGCACGCTTTTAGCGGATACGCGTGGCTGCTTTGCTCATAAAACTCATATCATGTTGTCGAATTTAAAACTAAATTAGCGAAAAGTCTCCTTTTGGAGATTAAAAATATACGAAACTTGTAGGCTCTAGAGTGCTTATTGCATTTAATAGGTGTAATACATCTCTCAACTCGTATATGAAGAAAAGAAAAAAAAAACAATCCAATTACTAAAAAATACGCATTTTTATAAATTTTGTTACAAAAAAAAAAAAAAGTCTAAAATATGCAGACATATTTCGTATATTACTTTCATGTCTCGTGACGTACGGAAATATGTCTTTTGGCATTAATTCAAATTTGCTGAAGAGCCACCATTAGACAGAAGCCCACTGTTCTGTTACTGTTGCATGCAATTGTTTGTTTAATGCTGCTTTGTCCGAACGTAAAGCATTTAAGCATTTAATGTATAGGAGAGTGCAATGCACTTAAGTGAAAATATAGTTTTACTATGAAAAAAATAAAAAATAAATCGTAAATTATTTTAAAGAATTGTTCCAAAATATAATGAAGCATACGCTTGGTATATATGTAAATATGAATTTAAATAATTTAATGTGTTTGCTTGACATGCAAATGTAGAAATTTATGTTCTATTTAAGTGCAAATGCAAATTTTGTTTTACTTTTTATGATTTTTTTTCTATTTTTTTTACTATATTCGATTATTCATGCAACACGTTATATATAATTGTTGCCAAAATCATCAACGCAAGCCGCTAAGAAAGACTTGCGACTTAACTCAAATCATGCTAATAACAATACAAAGCTTACTTCTTGTATTTGCTCTGCGGCACGTAGTACAATACGTATGAGCAATTTCATATTTTCATAATTTTGCATAATGTTTATTATACGCCTGTTTTCCATTTCGTGTATACAATTAATTTTGAGAACTTAAACGAAGTTGTGCCAACAATTCTAACTTGAAAGGTGTGAGAGTGTGTGCGGAATATCATTATTATTTATTCGAGATATGCAATCAAAATTTCTGAACTTGTCTCAAAGAAGGAAGTGGGGCAACGAAGTATTGCTATACAATTTGCATAATGCCAAGAACAATCAATCAATTTTTATGTACGACTTCTCAAAAGAAACGAATCCGATATCGGATTATACACAAAGCCTGCAACTGCTCCAATCTCAAAGTCGAAACGAAATGATTTTGCTGCCTCACAATATTTATTAAGACTTCTTCATATATTCTTCGTATAAACGCAACATGTATTTGTATAAAAATTGCCTACATCTGGGAATAAGCGCACATTGGCCCAACATACTTTCTGTAATTAGCTTAAGACCTCTGGAGTTGTTTTTTTTTTCTTTTTAATATAAACGATCAAGCAGGGTCCGCTATAGGAGTTGTAATAAGGGGGTGGTAAGAAAGAGCTGGAAAAAGAGAGAAAGAAGAAGGGAAAAGAAGAAAGAGGAAGGGGAAAGGAGGAAGAGGTAGGGCCTCGTGGATGTTTGCTGAATATGTATATGTTATGTCTACTGGCCGCAACTGTGATCAAGCACGATCACTCAGGGCTGAGATTGGAAGTCTCAACTCTCATTTACTTAGCTATGCTGCATCCCATTCGCTAGCCATTCGAGTCTTTATGCAGCCATCTGTCTATCCGTCAGTCGTTCAGCCGTAGCTTAAACTCTTTTGAATACAAAAATAAATAGAGATAATAAATTGAATCTTGGTTTGGCACTAGTTCGAAAGGATATCATTCCTCATGATAAGTAGATCTATGACTTCTGGAAAAATTATGGAATATCTTTTTTTAATAATCCACAATATAGAATAACTAAAATTAAAGTTGAGCAGAAGGAGCGTTGAGTGAAAAAGTTTAGGCCAATATAACCTCTATGAATCTATTGGGAAGTTTTTCGAGAAGATTAAATTATTTCAGGTGAAATCTTTCCCTTCCATTTTAAAGTGGCCCTAGTTTCATTACCCGGTTAATAATAATGCAATTAACTCCTTATTCTCTATGATTAGAAACGTGACCATGAACTTTAAAAACTTTTTATATATTTAAAAAAAATTACATCTGCCTGAGTGGCCGAGCAGGAAAAAGCCTCGACTAGCAGCTCAGTGGTCTTGGGTTCAAATCTCAAGTGCGGTAGTGTGTCCAACAAAGCCGATAGCTTTAGATGCTAAGGCTTTAAGACTTTAGTCTTCGAATTTATTCTCTTTATAATAATAATAATAAAAAGGTGAACTAATTGGTTTTGAGAATTTTATAGGTCGAACACATAATGGGTATAGAAATGAAAAATAATCTCATTTCCCCGCAATTAAGCAGAGATTTATGTTAATACGATTCGATGCTTTGCATGAAAACTAATCGTTTTTTTTAGATTTTCCTTTGGAGATTGTGCAGCAACGATATGCATAATGAATAACGCGCGAAGTCGAGACCTCATAAATATATCTGAACAGGGTTGCGAAAACAGGGTAGAAATTAGTGCTACCAAAACCGAAAGCGGTCTGTTAATGCAAAAGACAAGTGATGAGCAACTTCCCTGCTTTGATTGTGTTAATGTACAAGGATCGGCAATCTTTAATGTTCTGGGCATGGAATAGAACACGTGTTCAAAGTGTCGAAAAATGCAGAGCTTGGTTTTTTAAAGCGATGCAAAAAATACTTCATTGCAGTCGGTACCAGCACCATTTACGCCGCCTTTACTGGACCATTATATTATAACACTCACGTGTGGGAGGGTGCCTTCAAACTTTGCTTAAAAGCCCCCGAGTGCCTACAGCAAAAGGCTCAAAATGACGAAAGTATGCACAGAACACCCGATGCTTCAGACCATCGGCTTAACGTGGTTTGCGTGATGCTTATGTAGAGCTACGTTTAGGGCAAATGTTCTATGGAAATAAAAGAGAGATGCTCGCCAATTAAATCTCACAACAGGATTACACGCCTTTCTCAGCGTTTTTATCCACTCGTCCTGCAGTTGTCTGCATACCACACGATACACTATCGCTACCACGTTTTTAACCGTACTACCCGCCTTCAGAACAACTTATCAGCTGTGGTCTTTCCAACGTTCGATAGTTCGAATCAATCTAGTTGAATTATTACCTTTCTTTACTCCAAAGTCACCTGAGTTGGTAATAGAAAAAAAAAAGTCAAATTCCAAAATAGAAAACACCAAACATCATATTCATAATGCTTTACCTGCCAAAGCAGAATATTTGCGAGAGGCAAAGTCGATTGAGTTAAGGGAGTTGAATTGTATAATTGGAGCAAGAACGCCACCAGAACGACCATTAAAAATGTCGTAAATAAAAGTTCTTCTTCCTATGAGTTGTAAATAGAACCTATGCTACGTTCTAAAAATGACAATTCAGTGAGACGGACTTAATCGCGAAAGAAGTTGATCGAAAATGTAAAAGTTAAATTTTTTTTTTTGTTGTTGAGAGGAGATGAAACGTAAAAATTACAGAAAATCGTTATACGTTGCAATATATCAAATCTATCACTTAGCGGCTGCGATAGCTCGTAGTTGTTACATTAAACATTAATGAGGTTTTTTTTATTTTCTAAATACTTTTAAAAGCAAGCACATGATTACGATGCGTTGGTAATGCCTTTTCCGCTAATTAAAAATAAGAAATATTCATAAATATTTATGTTCAACTTCAAAAAGAATTTGTTACTAATCGTTCGTTCCGGTAAATAATGATTTTTATGATGGTAATAAAAAAAAAAAAAACCAAAAACAACAATGCAGCTGTTGCTAGTGAAACAGTTCTCGTTTGATAGCCGTAAGAACGCGAAAACAAATGAAGTGAAGTGAAAACAAATAATGTAAAATGTGAATTTTACAAAAAATTTCTAGTGAATAGAAAGAGACAAAAAACGCTTTTACATTGAAGCTGTTAGCGCTTAAACACAATGGTGCGTTATTCTTATTTTAGAAACGAGATTTCAACTTTGCCGACTTTTTACGAGGCTTAGCAGGCATCGGCGAACCGTACGCATGTATACATACAAATAAAGGAAAAAAAAAAAAAAACGAGTAAAAAAAATTGCGATCGAATAAAGCACATATGGTCAAATTTTTATATATCTGGTGTAGTTTATGAGTAATGAGTAAAAAAACAATTTTTTATTCCTTTTGCAGAAGGGAAATGTCCTCAGTTTACTTGGTATTCCAGGTGTGTCTTTCCGACCGATTTGGTCCACTTTAAAGTGCGTGCCAGAATTTCCAATATTTCTACCAAACTTGAACGTTAACTTTATTTTTGTGGCCGAGAGAAGGTTTACAACAGACATTACGCAGAGGGGCAGACGGCCAGAGGGACATGCTTAAATCGATTCAAAATTTGATGCTGACTAGGAATATACATATACGTTGGGCGGGCTCTGAAGCTTCCTTTTGGGCATAATGAGTACATGCCCCGTTCTTCGGTGATGGGTATAAAAAACGCACAAGAACAAAGAAAGATAATTTATTTTAATCGTAGATATTATTTCTTTAATTTATGTTTATTCTCTATTAATTTAGGTCTCATTTTATGTTATATGATTTAAAATATTATTAAATTATTTCATAACGAACGAGAAACAAGCAATAAACGCAATTTATGTCAAATTTTTTAATATATCTATCCACTCAAAGCATTTAACAAATTTTTATAGTCTATTCTACTGCGTCCGTGAAGTCCGTCCCCACTCTTTAATAATTTTTCCTCATTTTTCATTTTATTAATTAATCAAAAAATTTAATTTGCTTTTACAATAATTTTCTTGTCATTGTTTTTCATATAATTGTTGTTTACGTTTACGTTGGTTATCTTATTATATTGTACACCACTTGTGGCACAGGGTAAGTAACAGGCAGAACGGCTTAGGATGAACCTACCTTTTATATACCGACATATAGCCCGTCCGGCTGTCGGTCTATCCGTTCCAGTTTTCGAGATGTTTTGATGATATTTGGCATGCTGACCAAGGCGATTTAGAATGGTTTCGATCCGTCCACTTTTCCGACCATTCCCCATCTAACGCCCCATTTTGAAAAATTGTCATAAGGGAACAAATTGCAATTTCCCAAATTTCGCGACAAAAGCGCCTAAGTAATAGTACTTCGGCATTCTAAATTGCTGTAAAAACTTTGGACCGGCTGGGGCAATTTTTTGAACTCTCGTTCATATAACGAAAAATGAAATTCATATCATACCGATGAAAATCAGATAATAATGGTAATTTAAGATAAAAATAAATTAACTGCACCAAATCTGGAACATCTCGGCCTATTTTTTGGATCTTGTATACGTATTTTCTTGAAAATTGATTTGGCCAGAAAATTGAAATCTGAACCCATAATAGTAATTCGATATAAAAATTAACCTTAAAACATTTGAACCACGTGTGCATAGTTTTGGATTCTATTCTACATAAGAATTTAAATGAAAATTGTTGTCTTTTAGTGCAGAAAAATCTAAGTTTTAATATATTATCATGTAAGTTGATCCTCACGTACCTTCATTTTCGAATCTCTTGGGCACAACCATTCTTACTGAAAGTGAACCTGTGTTTGCAAAGAGGTTTCATTTTTAATATACGTATAAAAGGGGGGTAAAAATTTTTGTATTCTTTGACAAAAATAAGAATTGTGCTAGACAAGGCCATGTAGGGTATTTAATTAATCTTTTTCCTATAACGTAACATGCTAGAGAGGCTTCTTATTGTGCGTATCACTGATGACTTATTAACACGAAAAGCGGAATGGTGGATCGTTGTATTTAAGGCCTTTGTCTTTGTAAAGTTTAAGTTTTATTTAAAAAGAATTTTCTTTTTAACCTTTTTTCCCCAGCTCAGTGACTTATCTATTGTTGATTTGTCAAATGGCAGAAGAAAAAGAAGAATTTGCTTGTTCCTAATAAATTTCTTTTGTAGCATGAGCTTCGGCTAAATATGTTTCAATCAAGTCAATATTGCCGGGTTCAAATTGCAGTGCAGTAGAGTTTACTTTGGTCGTAGCTATAAGTAAGTGCCCAGGCGGTAAAGGCATAACGCTTACACACATTGTACACATCCACCAGGCTACGGCCGCTTCCCTGTCTTTTACTTTTCCTCATTTCTTTCCGACCGTCAGTGACTGGTTATATAAAAGAAAAAAAAGTGCGATTTTTACCATTTGCGAAAATTTTCATTTGTCATGCGATGAAGTACATGAAAATGGAGCACTGCTTACTTCATTGCGCTGGAGCTTGTTGAAATTAATCTATGATATTCCAACGCAAAATTGATTAACACTCATAACGAAAACTGATGAAATGGATATCTGTCGATTTCATTAAGAAGAGGGTTTAGTTTTACAGAGAAGTGGTTTCTGTTCTTAATTTCCCGTTAAAGAATAAATTTTTCTATGTCACATTTGTTCCCTTTAAGCTTTGCTATCTCTGCATAGACTTGCTAACAGATGACTTTTTATAATAAATAAATAAATATATTTTCCTCTAACAAAAGTGTAAGCGTAACTTTTTCATTCGAATTTAATCTTTAT